TGGGGCCTCGGCCCACATCCCATCTGGATAGTATAGGTGTGATAGTAAGGGACCGTTAGGAACAGTCACCCGTGTTTGATATGGACGGTGGGATGATACATCCCCCCGGTTAGGGCGGGGAGCCCTGAGGCGTCTGTTTTCTGATTGGTTTGTCATTGCTTTACAGGTCCCCTGGGAGAGGCAAGGCCATGTAGAAAACTGCATGCTTTTTTGTATGTAGTTTTCCGTGTACTCTTTTTCCCTCCTCAGCACTGGCAGCAGCAGGAGTATCAGCAGCACCTCTGGCAGGAAGAGGAAGAACCTCACATCCGCAGGCTTTCAGGCAACAGCAAAAGTCGAAGCTCATGCAACAGCAACAGCAACAACAACAGGTACAGTAGCAACAAGTGCCCTCTGAACCGTGCGAAATCATTGCAGATTACACGGCTCACTAACTCTACTTGCTTTGAGTTCTAATGATGTATCTTTCTTCCAAAATCAGCGCTGACCAATGTTGAGTTTTCATAAGTTAATGATTTTGTGTATTTTAACTTACCCGGACGGCATCAGACACAACAACATGCCCCGACAGCAGGAGCAACCGCCTCTACAGGCTGTGTGGGATGAGTGTGGTTGGGTACAACGTGTCGCGGGATCTCCGTGATGGGTTGGGGTGAAGTGCTCATCTTGGGGCTTCACTTTCACCCCAGCCTAATTAGCCTTATGGTTAGGTGTTTGCCTGCCGAGTCGAGAGTTGTGTGTTCGAGTCCTGTATTCGACATACATGAACACCACGCCTACGACGCAAAAAAAAGAAGAAAAAAAACAAAGATGAAAAGGGTGGTGCACACAAGACGAAGGGCAGTGCACACAAGACTATTCAGGGACTGGCTCCACTCCACATTACTTTACATGCATTGGACGCTTTCAGGACCCGGTGCATTCAAACAAATAAAAAATTATGAATGAACTTTGGTCAGGAAGAGTCCAAATGCATGTGGACGCTTTCAGGACCAGGTGCATTCAGACAAATCAAAAGTTCTGAATGAACTATGCCCAGGAAGAGTCCACATGGATGTGGAGTATTGTATAGTGGAGCCAGGCCCTCAGCGTTCGTTCGTTTCCCGCCTTGTGCTGTCACACACGTGGAGAAAACTATACTAAAAAAAAAAAAAAAAAACTATACTATACCTGGGGCCAAGTCCCACTGCCGGTAGCATCCTGTAGTTGTACTTGCCTACAACGGTGGGACAAGATTGAATGGAGGGAAAGCTATTTGTGACACAAGTTTAGGCGGGAAGGTTTCTCCCTTCTACTGTGTCCATTAGATTCTCTCTTACTTTGGCTCTCACCTTTCCCCCAATGAGAATGGAGGCTGTAGTTCCTACTGTTCCCTTTTTGTGAAGGGAGACGCGCTGCCATCGTTGTTTTGGCGAATTTTGTGTTATTGAGTAGACTCGAACTCAGGATCTGTTACACACAGATTTGCTAGTAGATCTCATGATGAGGATAGAGGAGCTCTGCCTGACCGGTGACGCTCCAAAAGACAACGGGCTCTGACAGAGGGAGGACAATTAAAGACGAAAAAGAAAAGAAAAAAAAGAAAATAAATCGTGCACAACTCGTTCACTATCAGGGTAGCTAACTACACGCTCCGAGAATGACGGGAAGGAAATTGCGTCTGCATTACCAGTGTTAAACCACCAGTACTTCCTAGAGTCGTGCTCGTTAACGCGCCATGATTTTAGGAAACGTACGGGCTACTACAGGAGCGCTCAAATTCATCCGACTAGAAACGTTTCTACTCTATTTTTTCCGCGGCCGATAGCTGGTGGGCCAAGTACTGGTGGTTTAAGGAGCAGCTTGTTTTCTTGTTGACGGCATCATCTGCTTAGTTTTGGCGCACCTATTTTCTTTCTGGCGCGGTTTCATATAACCCTTCAGGTGTACAGCGGTCTACAGCTTCTGTGCATCACACACACGTTTCCCGCTGAACTTACATGTGGCACCCTGTTCCGACCTACAACTGCGTGGTGCTAGTGGGACTTGGCCCCTGTGCACATGGGACGGGGCGCCTGTTTTCAATTTGGGGAGGGCGGCTGGGCTTTGACTTGACTCTCTGCTCCACCACGCTGGAATCAAGTCTCTGCTGCGCTAGCCTACAGTCTAGTATCGACTACTGTAGCAGGCTATGTTACGTTACGCTTGACTCCCGACTTCCTACTCTGCGCTATATTCTACGCTGGACTCACAATTGGCTACTACTCTTCGCGAGGCTTGGACTAGTGTGTGTGTGTGTGTGTGTGTGTGAGAGAGAGAGAGAGAGAGAGAGAGAGAGAGAGAGAGAGAGGGAGAGACGTCATTTCAAGTGGCTTGGTATTATCGTTAAACCCCAAAACAGTGTGTGTGTGTGTGTGTGTGTGTGTGAGAGAGAGAGAGAGAGAGAGAGAGAGAGAGAGAGAGAGAGAGAGAGAGAGAGAGAGAGAGAGA